CATGTGATTACTTTCTGCAGTCGGATTTACACTAATATGAGGTAGAAACATTTTCAATTTTGATATCCCAATTTCAGACTTTTAACTACAATTTCCTTATTTTCTATTTTTCATTACATAAAACTGCATTCGATTTTGAGACAGCATTACATTTTCGAGGGCCAACTGCCAAAAGAGCTCCTTAACCATACAAGTAACTCATACAGGACTGGGTTCAAACCATTTACTATGTTACAGTTAACTCAATTAAAATGACCAACATTGAATTATTAGGGAGTGAGCGTGGTTAAAATAACGAAAGATCATGAATCAAGGCAGACTGTGAGAACGATAAATTTAAAAATTCCCATCTAAGCATCACGCTTCTACAATAATTTTAAGTTATATTTATTTCGCACCTTTGTAGAATGGTTTTCTAATAAATACCGTCAGTTAAAGGTGGCGCTGGAGACACGTGATTTGAGTGGCTAGATTCTTCCCGTTGGATTAGGATTTCCACCATTTTAAACTCAGGTTCCTTTCATAAATTTTCATATATATGATAGCTTTCTAAGCATTAAAAATCTTAAAAGACTCTTTAAAGATTTTTAAAATCAGTGTCGGCTAAGACAGACGGCTTAGGGGACAAGAACCAGATTATGAAAACTTCCCGTTAACGCTTTAAGCTAAATATCAGGCTGTAAAATAAGAGATTCTCGAAAATGGGATTTCTGTTATTCTACATGCTATAGCGTCTCATTTTTTTGAGCAGGGGGTTCCGCCGACCCCCCACTCCTCGAAACCCCCTTTGATCCGCCCCAGTGACTGGGACAGAATTTTCATGTCCGTGGTCGAGGTCTGAATAGAATGAATAGGTTTTTGGCCTTTTTTCCCTCGATCGCGCCAACTCTCCAATGTTTGCATGTTAACCTAATCCAAGCTGGCGGCCTAATTACTGTATACGGAAATATGTGCACTCGCTCGCACAAAATACACTGGCACTGCAGGCTGAGGTCTGAAATGTCATGAATGTTGAAAATACTTTTCATACATCTAAACGTTATGAGATCAATAGGCCACTTTCGTTATATTAAAATTCAGCTTGATAGTGAGGCGCTAGGCCTGGTCGTTCAATTTCCTTTGTTTGTTTGTGTCCTCCAAGACTCGCTGACATGCTGAATTTTAACTTATCGAAAGTGGTCTACTCCATGTAGCCTACGTGTAGCCGTACACACCCTCCCGTTAA